CTCCAAAAATATGTCCCTTGTTGAGCATAAACCTACCAGTAAATTTGGTGAATACTGTTAGTTCGACTGGTTTGAAATTCCAGCGAACGGACTGGTCGCATGGGAGTTTTTGATGTTTTCTCTTGCGCAATGTGAATGCCAGCTAGTTTTCTTCGAAAAGTCCATCATGAAGCCATCAAGAATCTTTGCTCTTCTTAGACAAATAGCCCTCAAGTGCTTTTCTAAAATCAAACAAACCAAATCGAACCTTTAAAAAGTGCTCCACAAAAGCATCCCTGTTCTTAGGCAGAAAGCCCTTGCGTGCTTTGCAGTGATCAAAATAATGTGACTTAAGCTCTATCTGGCCTGCGTAGGCTCAGTGCTTCGATGTCCTCAATGTGAAACACATTATCTAGCAAGTGTGGAATGTTTGCCATAGGATTATACGAGTGCCTGTTCAATTTTATGCCTCAATGCATTGTGGTCAGTACTTAATTTCTAAAAGAAGAAGGACTATGAAAGGTCGTCAACAAAGATAAAAATAAAGAAAAAAAAATAAAATGTAAATTAATAAATAAAATTAGATAATTCAATTTAATTAATGAAAATAGTTCAGTAGAAAATTGAAATACCGGAGCTCATCTTAATTTAGACTCCAACAGGAATTATACTTTTGCTCAAAGAGTGAAAAGTACTGGGACTGGATTTTAGGTGGATTAAAGACGTGACTATGACTTGAGATCGTACTGAAGATGATTGCACTGCATGCATCTTTAATTGAATTAATTTAATTTTAATGATCTTTAATTGACCTGCTGCTCTGTTTTGATGAGCAGATCTCAAAACAAGAGAATAGATAAACAAGAGCTAAGTTCAGAATCCAGAAAGCAAACAGAATTAACATTTTTTATGAAGAGCATTGCTTATAGATTATAGGTCACATAATATCATGATAAAAGGTGTTTATTACGCTAATCTGTTGACTCAACTTGTACTAGGCCCACCAGCGGCCGAGAGGTAAATCCGCTGAATGCTAGTAATTCGCTCAGAGTTTTATCTTGACGAATAGGCTGGCTCCAGAGGAGATTTTGCTGTTTTCCTCATGTATAAAGTGAATCAGAGCCAGTTTTCCTTATATTGTTCCTTTGAAAAGGCATATCTTCTCTTAGACAGATAGTTCTCACATTTTTTTGACGTAATAATCCAATACAATTCCTATTAACTATAAAACTGTGTAGCAAACTCAGCAGTAAAATTCCGCTTTGCATAAAAACGCTGCAGCACACAAGACTAAAATTTGCCAGATTGCTGTTCCAGGAATGATAATTTCAGCTTATACCCTATGCACAATGTTCACCAGACCTTGTCATCAAATGATTTCTTTTTTTGTTTCAAAAACAGAAGAAGTATTTGTATATTTCATACTGCAGTCTGATGATGATTTGAATGATGTTCAGGAATGATCTGAAGGCTGTGATAAAAATATTTTTATATTGGAATTCAATGCGTAATTGATTGCTGTACTAAATGCATTTAAGTCTACATAGGAAACTGAGAATGGAATTTTAGAAATTTATCTTATACAAATTTATTATGCTTACTGAATATCTCTATATATGGAATAAAATTAAGCAGAGAGAAGGAATATTTCACAAATGGCATGACATGACAAAACTAAAATGTACATAGGCTGTACAATGAAATTTTCTACCATTATGAAGATGTAAGACACAGAGCTCTTAAGTTGTCTGAATAATTTAAAAATAATACACTTGTTATGAATCCAGGTAAACATTGAAATTTAAAATGGAAGTTAGATTTTGAATGTTGATCATAAGTTTCAAGGCTATTAAGTTAAACTGCAGAAAACTTTTCAAAAGAGAAATTAAAAACTGAAAACAACAAATTACAGAATTAATGTATTCACAAAAAAAAAAAAAAAAAAAAATCACAGGAGTTCACCAGACAAACCAGTTAAAAAAAATAATAATTGAACTAAGGAAGTAGCTGTTATTTTGGAAACAAATGAACAAAAACTTTTCATTTGAATAATAATAATAAAAAAAAAATAGAGATTTTAAATCATTAGTGAAAAGATTATTAAAAATGCCAGTGTGGTAACTGTATTAGAAATCTCAGCTTTTCTACATATAAATCAATTAGTAACTTTAAATAAATAAATAAAGGTAATACAAGACATTCTGATGGTTCTGATGAAGTCATACATGTGTGCTGATTCATTGCAGTTAGCAATATTTCTTGAAATGTGTTGGTCCTGAAATCAGTTTCTCATATATTTCAAGGTTTTGAAAAGAAGTAAAAAAAAAGTATCAAATTGGGTAAAATTTATTCAAAGGGGTTAAAACAAAAAGAGTGGCATTAATCTCATGTACATATTTTAATTCTTTTAGAACTTGTATTTTAGAACCATCAAAAATTGTTTTCAGATTTTTTCATTAAATAGCTTCACAAAACTCACTTCATTCTCTGACAACTGAAAGTATTAAATTATATTGCTTGTATTATTTGTTACTGTACTAAAAATGGTCTGCCTTAATAGATGTTGTGTATTATTTATTTTTAGATTATTATATTAGATTAAGTTTATTCTTATAGGAAAAAAAAAGTAATAATGTATATATGTGCAAGATAAGTTGATAAAAAGGTTAATTTTTTTGATTGTTTACTTAAAACATCCAACAGAAGTCATACACTTAAAATTTATATGTATAAATTGATTCACATATTTGCATTAAACTGAATATTTTTAAATACATTATCTTAGAATAATAATGTACTTATGTAGAATTTACTAATATTTTACTCTATATACATACTACACTCTATATTGCATTATTTCAGACTTCCATATTTAGATATTTGGATAAAAAAGGCCAAGCATTTTTGGATGTCACATCTGTAAATAGTATAAAGCAAAACTCTTACAGGAAAAAAAAAAAAAAAAAAAAAAAAAGGAGGAAAAGGACATTTGAAGTACAGTTCTTATACTAGAAATTAGGTGCTTTGATCCTATAAGTTCTTTTGATAAAGTTAATGACAAGACATAGTGCTGCCATTTATTTCTTAAATAGAATATATAAATATGTCATCTATTACTTGAATATAATATATATATATATTAATATATAAATATGCTTGAATATAATGTATAATTATTTTCAGGAAAATATTCATAACATTATAATTTTTCTAACAAAAAATAATCATCTGTTATCATACTTCAATACCATAAAATATATTTGGAGGTTTGGAGGTAAAATGACTTTCCTGTATAAAGTTTTATTTTTGAGCTTATGGGGGCAGGATATGATAATAAAACAAATACTGCATAAGTCATTTGTAAGCGATTATTTTTTCTATATTCAGAGTGTGTAATCAGTCACATATATTTATAAAAAATACCTTAGAATTATCTTTATTATAATTTTGTACATATCCCCCTCCTTCTTTTCAATATTAAATATAAGAGAGTCAATTGTGTTTTTAATAAATCATCAGGTACACACACTATCAAAAGGTAAAAATTTTCACGTCTTTATATTAAAATTTGAGTTAGTCTTCTAAGAGTTTAGTTTAAACAAACCCACACACAAAAGTTTGCTGTAGAAACCAAAATTATGATAAAAAATTTCTAAACTTTTTTTTTTTTTTTTTTTAAGGAGCTGGGTGGTTTGTTTACATTTCTTTTTCAGCAAGACATTTTTCGAGACCAGACTCAAAAATGTATGTATGCATGTATCTGTATATCTGTGCACACACACACAAACGTATGTACACACATATACATATGCTACATGAACACCTACATCCGTACATACAAGCATATGCACATACATTTCTGAATTAATCTCCTGAACACACTCTTTATGTATATAAATGCTTCTGTATGCAATTTTATAGAAATATTTAGCTACGCATGACAGAAAAAGTTACACAAGGTTTTTAAGACGATTTTTCAATTTCGTTTCATAAGAATGTGATTTTACTGCTTGCATGCATGATTTATTTAAATCTGTTGATAAGAATTTCAAGAAATTTTGATTATTTGTGTAAACTCCGCATCAGTATAAAATGATCAAACATTAGCAATTTAAAACAAGAATAATATTCAGATATATTCAAAGTTCTTTATTTTATATAATGTTTTAGATATCTATCAAAGAATGATAGTAATTAGTCATCAAACGAAATAAAAAATAACTTTTTCTTGTCATTCTAGCACTACACGGAAAAGCAATTCAGCCTTTCGATAATCAACACAAATGTAAACAAACATCTCTTTACGGCTGGTCGGAATGCGCAGAAATCACGAAAGTGTCTCTGCGCAACTAGTCGTACGTTTAGCATTTTTACCATGTTTCGGCTAAACGTCCGACGTCCTACGGGTAGACACAGCCCTTAAGAAATCTATATACTCATACTTTAGAACCGTCACAATAATTTTGTCGGAATAACGGCACACAGCACTTTAAAGGCATGATTGAAATCGAAAAAAATATATCAATATCAAATTAAGGCGACATGGTTCACGCGCTTTCTCACGACCAAGGACGAATTTCTCCTAACTTGCTAGTGCCATCTAGATGGCCTTGGTTTAGGGGCGATTTTTCGCACCCCATTGAGAAGGCCAACAGTTTGTGACGTCACTAAACTAGGAGCCTTCAGTAGGGAGGCTTGTGTTTAAGAAGGTGTTGTTAGAAACACGTACGTTTCACTGCCGAATGTAATGTTTTGAATTTACAAACATGGACGCCGCTTGTTCGGTGGAGCTTCATTCCCCGATAGCGGAGGAAACTGCTAACCCTCCCTCATTCTATTCTAACCTCCTTGTAAATAACGCCAAAAATTACATCAAACTTTTACTTTCAAAAGAAAAAGAGGAAGCATATAATGTGAGTGTGTAGCATTCCGAAAGCCGATTTGAGGAATTCTATTATTTATTACAATATTAGGTTTGAATTTTCAAGCACAGAGTCAAAAGACGTAGCAAATGCAAAACAATACATTTGTTTACATTTTGTTTAAAACGATTGGCAAGATGTTTTCTCGATCACCGTTTAGTGCATTCAGATATCCTTATCACTCGATGTTTAGAACATTTAAATATCGTCATTTTTATTCACATCCGAAAGCATTTTCGTTCTTGAAAAATTTTTATTTTGGAAAGCATTTTTTGAGTACAATTTACTCCCAAGAAAGGGCAAGTAATAGGTGCAATATTAGGTTGAAATGTTCTGAGAGTAAGTAAGGTTATGTTCCAGTTGTTAAGGAAGTTATTTGATTATCCTCTTAATAAGATAATCGGTTATCATGAAAAATTTAATGCGGGTTTTCATCCGCAGAGAACTCGTTGGCGCTTTGGGAAAGAACCCGTTGGCGCCGTTGCATTCTTACTCGCCAAGCTCGCGGTTCATCGACGATGAGGGGATGAGTCGAGCCGTAAACGTGATTTTTAGTGCATGTAAATTCAAGTTAGCAGATAAAACAATATATTAAGCATATGGTAGTAAAAATTCACAGATAATATGCATGTAGATGTAAAACTAAAGGGTTAAACGTGATATACGAAAATAAATTTGTATTAAATTCAAGTTAGCACAGAAAAGAATATATTATTAAGCATAAGACAATATATAAGCATTTATAACGGAAATAAAAATTCATTTAAAAAATATAAATTAGTATTAATATACTGAAATTAACCGGTTAAACGTGATATACGAAAAAAAATTTGTCTTAAATTCCAGTTAACACAGAAAACAATATATTCCTTACACCAGCAGTTGTTTGCTAATTTTGATGACCATGGTGATGCATCAAACTATTCTGTCATCTTAGATAATCAATATTTTTTTATTTCAATTTAATCATCTATTTATGCCACACCTGCCATCCTTTGAAAGGTTATTGTTAGAAAAGCATTGTTAATACTTTTTAACGAGCAACAATATATTATCTTGTTAAAATTTTACGCCATAAAAATTGCTTTATTCTCATAATTTTAGATGACAATAACCAATAATAAAAATAAAAGCATTACTTAATTATTTAAAATGCACATGCACATTTTTGCGGTCTACGAAAACAAATTATTTTAGACTTTGGAAACCTCATGGTTCTTAGAGCTGTTAATAATTAAGAACACAACATGAACAGCCGTGTTACAAATTAGCATTCACCCCTCCTTTCATCCCGAACCGAGAACCGGCATCTATCTACGAAAATATTTCTATCTATTCGTTGTTAAAAAATTCAGAAAAAATAATAATAAATAAGAGAAGAATAATATAAATCTGCAAATGCGAACAACGACGGTCTTATTTCAACAAAATAAAAGCAAGAGGAATGGTTGCAAATTTCGAACAAGCGAATGGGATAAATCCGAAGGGTTACCAAGTTAGAACTATTATCGCCAAAGTTGGCGATGTTTACATTTACCGGGTTCTCTGCAGAAGTGCTTCCTTTAATGCTTTTTTTTTAATTAAGCACTGAATTTTAAAGCAAAAAAATTCGTGAATCTCATCGAAACCAATTTGTATGCTTTTATGGATGCTAAGTCATTTTGACTTTCCATATTGGTCTTGAGAGAATATGCCTTATTGGTAAGGTTATCATATTTTAAGAACGAGAATTCCGGAACGTGTGCATATGCAGAGGGAGGGGAATTCCACTGTAATCGAGTAAAAAATGAGTTTTGTACTGATTCATGTTAAATATATGCATAGTACATGTGATTTTTATTGATACAATGCTGTGTTCTATAACCTATTTGTGAACCCCGAATTAAAATCTATTAATATAAATATTTGTCTTCAATTGTTCTACGAAAATTTCTGCAGATTTCCATGTTCAAAACATTTAATAAAAAATTCAGGTAAAATCCTAGTATACGGTGCAACCTTGGCACGATTTTTAAAATTATTGCCTACACTAAAATGACCCGTTTACTACTCACCGTATATGTCGCGTTTACTGCTCATCATAAAGTCGCCAAAAGTAGCCAAATCCTGTGTGCACTGTGAACTAGGATTAAACCAAAATTCATTTTAGTGAAGAAAGCTACCCCTTGGCGATTTTTGGAGGTACATGGATACCGAGTTTGTGCAATTCTTTGACTTGATATTTTGGCTTGCAGAGCAGCATTTTTTTTAGCCAAAAGTTGCTGCTATGCAAAGCCAAAATAACAAGATAAACAATTGCACAAACTCGGTATCCATGTACACATCGACCTATTTTCACTTTAAAAAATAATCGCAGAATTGCACAAACTTGCATTGTGCACTCCCTTGACTTTGTCCATATACACATCGATATATTTTCACTTAAAAAGTCAAAGGAGCTCCCAATTCTACATTAGAGGCAAACAAAAAATACATAATTTCAACAAACTACATTGTAAACCAAACTATAAAATGACATAAAAAAGGAAAAACCTCTTATACATTTCGGCGCTACATGAAGCAAATATCAACTAACGTTATTTAGAAATTTCTTCATCTTCAGTCTGTGGCACACAAAATTCTTTAACAGCATCCAAAAACTTCCTAAAATTATCTGAACCTGAATCCGTATATCAGCGTCGCCACATAAATTACGCTTCACATAGTGACCATCTGAACCTTTCTTCCTACAAACCCACTGAAATCCATCTGAACAGTCCTTACAATAGATCCAGACACATTTTCTTCCTACATATAGGACACTTATAATCGCTACTAAGTAAACCTTCATTCACACACCAGTCAATTAATGCTCTTTTCCCCTTTCCTTCCAAATTGTACAGAAACTTCAAATTAATCTTAGTAAATTCCACCAGTCTACTGTCTAAACAATAAAACAAAAACAACACACACCACAAAAGTGCTTACAAAACATCCCATGATTCAAAATTTCACAGAATCATGCAGCCGATTACATCATAATAGGGTTTCCATAACATTCAACTACTCAAGCTACCATAAATGAAATGACAACTTGGCGATAAATGAAAAAACAACTTCGCGATAATAGAAGGAGTACTTTAAAGTCAACTCTAACCAAATGAAATTTTATAGCACTGATAACAAAATATTGAAAAGGAGACTGCATACATTTTGCAGTACTTATATTTTGAAGATGACGTAGGTGGATCAGGTTCTGTGTTTTAGTAATCCAAATTAGTAATTCGTATTTTAGTTAGAAATTCTTTGTCGAATTTTATATGTCATAAAAATCACTGTATGAACACTTGGAATTCACTTTGAAATTTCAACATTCTTTTAGTGTTGACACCTGTAAACGATTTCTATGTGAATACCAAATGTTCATTCATGGTTGAAAAATACTCTGTATTGGAGCTGATGCATTTAGAAGCAAAATAAATAAACTAGATGTAAAATCAGCCTCATTTAAAAATTATAAATTTGTTTGGGCTGATCCTAGATGCTAGGTAACCATATTTATTAAACATCTTAACTGAGTTGTATATGATAAACAAGTTGTTTGTGTGTATCGGTAACAATTTCTTTCTTGTTAAGGCTGCAGAAATCAATTTTTGGAGTTTTTTTGCTCTCTTTCAAACTGATCTTTGGCCATATTTGCCTTTTTTGTAAAAAATTTGTGGCAAAGGATTAAATCAATGCCATCAGAATATGAAGATGTTTAAAATTAATTTCCTGTCAGTTTCTGCTAATGATTTTTAACTTTTTTCCATTTTGTTGTATGTTACAAAAAATATTTCAGATTTGACTAAAAGTTATTTAACCTTTTCGGGATGGCGCACCTTTGTTTAAGACGCTCATGCGGGATGGAAGAGAATCGAAGGCAATCACCGTACAGGACGGAGGTTCTGCATCGCTAAGCCTAATTTTATAACAAAATCAGAAAAACAAAAGTTTCGCTTCTAGCATCGTAATTTTTGGTATCATTTTAGATTATTACTTGAGCTTTTATATATGTTAAAATTAGCCCTTAAAACATTTTTTTCTTTATTTTACATGAAAATATACTTAAAAAATTGCTTATCTTCTAAAATAATTTTCGGAAGCGCTATTAAAATTATTTCCAAGTTTTAATTGATAAAATCCATCAATAAAGTTTAAAATTAATAAAAAGAACACAATAAAGACTATTTACAGTAAGAAGTAACAAAATTTAAAATGAAAACTAGTGTGGTAAATCTCGAAGATCAGAGAAGTATCACTTTGTAATTCTTAGAAAAAGTATCACTTTTTAACTCTTTAGAAAATGAATTAGTATTCTCATTTGCGCTAGTTAAATGGTTCACTAACCATACGAGGGTATTCTTCCTCTGATAAATAGTGCCTTCCCACCATAATAGACTGGAGGTGAGGCTTTCCTAAATAAAAAAAGAAGGAACAGAAATATATCTGAAGGCAATGCAAAACGTAAAAAAACTCTGCACAGTAACCCTAAAAGACTGTACGTAGTAGAGGGGAAAAATATAATAAAAAAAGAATTGGATATAAATCAGGGTTGATCTTTGGATTATGGTAACTTGGCGATTTTTTGGCGAAAATTTGGCGTCCAACTCTGCTACAGCAACCCTCTATTTTTTTTTTCCGCCGCCATTTTGTTTTCACGAAGTAAAGACATGTTTCTTTTCTTTTTATTTACTGAACACTTTTTCCAACAATCTACTAGCCAAATTACACTTATACTAGAAATTTTATCAAACAAAACTGCTAAATCATGACAAATATTCACTGCAAAATTGGGAAAAAGTGCACAATCGCAAACTCCTTGTGCGTTTTTCACAATAACACATACACATAAACCATGTACACGTCGACTTATTTTTACTTAAAAAAACATCCCAGAATTGCACAAAAATGGCATTGCGCACACTCTTCACTATATCCATGTACACTGCTTTTTTCTCATAAATTAGAAAAATTTCATGAAAATGCATGACAATTTTCTGAATCTTTAAACCCGGTAAAAAGAACATATATGAAATTACCTTATCGCGAAAAAGTATATACCCTTTCCAAATATGAACATTTCCACGTATAAAATAAATAAAATATCTAAAAACTTTTACCTCTAAATTATCTATTATATTATAAACGTCACCAACAAGTTCATACCGCAAACATTACAAATACTTAGTGTCAAATATTTAAATTATTTCCATGCACGTTTACTTCAACTAAAACGTATACCAAATTCCTACAAACATAAAATTCACAAAATAACTATCATTTAATTAAAATATCACTAAACCATGTACACGTCGACT